TTTCCCGCCTTAATGATTTATATTAATGTTACTGTGCAGGAGATGAAGATGAAATTCTTGGAAAAACTACCATATATTTATTCTATTCTCATTAATTGAGCAAATTCCCCACCACCCAGAGAATAGATTCAGTAATGCCTTGGACAATTTCTCAGAATATGAATTATAGAAATCAAGGAAAATACCATCTGTTCATAGTAACTTTTTATAATAGTCTAAGTTGCCTGAAATGATGTAGCTGAGAGCTAAATCAAGGCAACCAGCCAGTAGCTGGAGAAGGGAGGGGATTTGCATCTGTTCTAAATAAGCTGAAAAGTATGACTGTTATCCATGCTAACCTTTTACCAATGTTCAGCAGCATCTCTTTGAAAACAATGCCTGTATTGTTACAGTGAATGCTTCAATAATTCTTGCATATAATTTTTAATGGGTAAATGACATGTTGTTGCATCCCCATCACAGGTAACATAAAGGTAGTACTCACATGATGACTACTTTTGCTTAACAGCCATTTAAAGTCTACTCATGGCTCGATTTCGGAGTTCTGATGGTGCAACACTCTCCCCTGCACAATGATGTGATTACATTCTGGGCGCTTGGCAAGAGGCTCACCTAAACAGCCATTTGTAACATCCCACAGTTACCTGGCCACGATTTTCAAATGCTTTTGCTGGTTTTTAGCATTTACTTCCAGTTTCTGGCAAAAAAATGCCTATTGGAATGGTAAGAGGCCTTTTCTCTCTTGCTAACAATCGGCTGATTTTGCTGCTAAAGCTGGTTTTCTGGCAGTGCTGCTTCCTGGATTTGAATGGGAGCATTTTGACAACTTTGGACAGCCATAGATCACCTAGGAAGGGAAGTCTTGAAGATTCCACTTATTTTTGGGAGAAGTTGGAAAGTCATTGGCATTCATCTTTTTTTTTTTTTTGGACATTTTGGTTTTTTAAGCATGCTTGGGCTTTAACTTCACTTTTTGAACTTTTACTTTCTCTTTTTATTTTTAGATTGGCTGACTAAATGCTGATTTATTTCAACATCCTGTTGGACTCTAGCTGTTTTTTTTTTCCTTTTCATTTATGCTGTTGTTCTAAATAATGTTTGTTTTCCCATATGTAAACATGGCATGTTCTTGGATGGTGAAGTGCTTTCATTTGATTTACATTAATATTGGACTCTCACTACAGGGTTTTTGCATTTTTTAAAATTTGCAAAATACTTGGAGTTTACTGCTTTTTAATTTTTCTTCGAATCTTGAATAGAAATATCCAGAAAGTATCTTTCCTGAATCCTTCTGCTTCAGCATTCTTTGTTCTTTGGTTAAGTTCACAGAGTAACAATGTATCAGATTGCAGACAAGTAAGAGTGCCTGAAATCTGAGAAAAGATCTTTTGGTAACATGCAACCTTTAGCTGTAAGTTTAAAAAATATATATGATGAGATGATAATGGTTGTAGAAAATATTCAGAGGCACGTAGCTTTGAATAAATTAGATTCACAAAAGGAATTTGATTTGAAAACTGTAGATCAAAGATATATGGACTGTGCAGATGGAGAACCAACTGAGCTGATTCCATGCATTTTTCTGAACTTCAGTCCTGCATATTTTACAATAGGAGAAACTTGAGTGAATCAGGACGTGACAACAATTTTTTTTTTAAGGAGGCAGATTGGGGAATGAATTTACTACACTTAATTGGAAACACTTCTATCTGGACTTTGTTGGAAAGATAAACTAATTGTAAAGGTTTAATTTATAATATTTAACTAGACAATAACTGATAAGAGGCATGAAGAAACAAACATTGATATTTGATCCAGGGTGAATGACTTAAAAATTTTGGGATGATTTGAGATACATAAGTGGGATATACTTTCTCCAAGTTGATTATAAAAGACTTTAACAGAGGGTTTTGAAAATTTAATTTTCTCCTTTTTATTATTATTACTCTTCTTGTTAACTATGTTGTCATTAATATAGCGTATAGATGACAGGTCAATAATTTGCAAATAGATTTACTAGTTTAAAAAATTGGGAAGGGCTGTTTGGCAGGGAATGAGAACCAATATTGTAGTACTGTAATGTATTAATCCGTATTCAGTTAGGGGGATAATATGTGTATATGTACTGGGTTTTTTTCTTTTTAATGTACTTTTGTACATTACAAAATGTACAAAATGTCTTGCTTGTTTTATATTTTTTTCTTTGTTCTTGTTTTCAGGTTGGGTTGTGGTTTTTTTTTTTGAGTTTTGTATTTTAAACTCTTTTTCAAATAAAATAAAAATGCCTGGATAAAATGGACTTGCTTAAGGATTGCTGTGTTCACTTAACAAATGCTGCAAAAAAGGCCATAAAATCAGATGCTGAACGATGGTGAGCTGCTTGACTATCACAACAACTTACAATCATAGTTCCAGGTCCAGTGACAGTTGTTAGTTGATTTATAAAATAGTGTAGTGATTTACAAAATAGTGGTAACATTAACCCAATAAGCTAAGCCAACACCAAGCAATTTATAGTATGGCTTAGCACAATTCTATTTATTTGTTATTTGAAATGTGTGTTTTTTATCTGTTAATGTCCAACAGCTTGAGCCAGTTTTTGTGAAGTTCTCCTTCAGTTTGATCTGCAGAACACCACAGAGAGAGAACATCCCTATGCAAAGGCAACCACACATTAAAAACCAGAGTTTCAATTGCACCACTACATCACCATTCTGACTTTTTAAACCACAGCTTGTGGACACCCTGATTCAAAGTTACTTTCAGACATTGCATAACCCCCGGCAGCATTTCAGAAACTCTATATAAAAATCCTTGCACTCATCAAGCTAATTTGTCAGCTGTCCCAGAACTGCACACTGTGGTTCTGTTTATCAATAAATGGACCTTCTTTCCAATCAGCCTCCATTTTATTTCCAGCGCCTTTCTCCCAGCTTGGAACTGAACCAGATGGATTTTTCTTCCAAAAGCTGGGACCAGCAGCTTAGTCACTAAGCAATGTGATCATAAAGTGAAAAAATCACGTGACTGCAGCAACTTACAACAGCAATTCAGGGAGTTTTGCTTGCAGTTATTAAGCAAATTGCATGTAGTTAAGTACATCATGTGACTGTGATTTTAGACTTTCTGCTGGCTTCCACATAGACTGTGCTTGTAGGAAACTGGCTGTGAAGGTTTCAAAATCGGATCATATGACTGAGGGGATGCTGCAACACAACTTCAACGAGTAACTACAAATCTTCTTGTTCCACACTGTCATAACTTTGAACAGTTGTTGGGCTAATGATCAATAAGCGAGAACTACTATGTTATATATAGTCTCTCTGGCTCTTGGGAATGTCCTTATTTATATTAATTTGTGCTTTTATTGGTTCGTATGGTTTCTGACCAAAATAATGATGTATAGATAGTCCTCGACTTACAACAGTTCCTTTAGTGACCTTTTGACATTACAATGGCACTGAAAAAAGTGACTTATGACCATTTTTCACACTTATAACCATTGCAGCATCCCCATGGTCATGTGATTTACATTCAGATGCTCAAAGTTATGATGCTTCCACTGTCCCAGGGTCATGTGAACATATTTTACAATCTTCTGACAAGCAAAGTCAATGGAGAAGCCAGATTCACTTAACAACTGTGTTCCTAATTTAACAACTGCAGTGGCAAGAAAACAAAATTTAACAAAATTTAACACAAGTGGCAAGAAAGTCATAAAATGGGGAAAACTCACTTAACAAACATCTCACTTAGCAACAGAAATTTTGGGCTCAATTTTGGTTGGAAGTCAAGGACTACCTATAGTTTTAAACATCTGGGAGTTGTTTTTGGAATTTGGAATTATATAAGCACAAAGAAATAAATACTTCTAATGTATTTGACAACTAGCTTAGTTAAGTGGTTAAAAAAGTAGTTAAGGCTAGAAATTGGAGACCATATGCATATGTGCATATGTTTTATAGGTATATAAAAAGCAGGACAGTACACATTGATGATTTGTAAAAAGTAAAACTATATTATAGGGAGTAACTTTTTCTTTCCCTTTTAGCCTCCATGAAAACCTGGACACCCTGTTCTTTTGTCTTACTGAAGAAAGAGTTTTTGCAAACACTTAGATATTGGCCCTGTTATCTAGTGGCTAACCCTAAATCAGGAAATTGGGAATATTTTAAGTATTTATAGTTTATTTACTTTTTACAAGTCATCTTCAAGTCATTTACTTTATTTACTTTTTACAAGTCATCAATTCATTTACTTTTTACAAGTCATGTAGTTTCTTGCTTTCTTTTTTTGAACTGGACAAAAATAGAAAATCTTTTGCATATGTATGTTCAGAGTTGATATGGATAATTTTATCTAATGTCTTTAAGCAGCTTCCATTTGCATTAGAGAATACTTTCTGGTTATTATGGCTCAAGTTTTCATTGTCCTGTTGAGAACAGTTGGAAGATAAACTAAGTTAGAACTTATTGTTAATTCTTGTAACTGCAGTGCAGAGATGTGATGTACATGTTTAAAATATGTCCTGGTGGTGTTTCCTTCATCTCATCCTCAGTCTGCCATGAAATCACCTTTAGGTGATATTTCATGTTCAAGTTTTAAAGTGGAGCACTTCCTCTTCTCCAAAAGATGAGAAAGATTTAAAAACTACAAAGTTAAAATGTATATATGTATATAAATGTATATAATTGTACATAACTTCTTTATCTTTCTGAATGCAAAATGTATTGACCGAAATGTATGTCAAAGAAGGCCACCACGTTCAATGTTTTTTAATGTTTATATATATATTTTTTTAAGTGTGGATTTCAACTTCCAGAATTCCCCTGAGCACCAGGTCGGCGAGGGAACTCTGGGAGTTGAAGTCCAACCGGTCTAAGGTGGTAGACTTTGAACTTCAGAACGGTGCCGTAATTGGACCACGCCTTCCTCAGACCCGCTGTAACCATGGCATTCAAGAAGCACACCCCACCCCACCCCACCCGCTAAGCGGAAATGACTCTCCCTGCACTTCCCGCGAACACCGGTCGACGTGTCTGCCGAAGCCGGAAGTAGCCGCCGAGAGAAGCTCGGACCGTTGGGGGGACCTCGGGGTTTTGTTTCGTTTCGGCTTCCTCCCCGTCCTCGTCTGGGGTCGCCATGGCGGTCGCGTGGCTGTTGTTGCTTTCCGCGCTCCAAGCGGTTCTTCAGCCCTTCGCCTCCCCTTTCTACCTGCCCGGCCTGGCTCCCGTTAACTTTTGCGACAAGTCGGCTAAGGTCTCGGAGTGCAAGGTCTGTGGCTGAGGAGGAGGGAGGGTCCCTTGCCTGGGAGAGGGGCGGGTCGGGACGGGACGGGCGAGCTTTCCTCCCCAAGGGCTCTCTGCCCCTGGGGCGGTTGCCGGTGATAATAAGAGTGGCTACCTTCCTTGGCCATGATCCTCAAGTGCTTTGTAGTCCTGGGATCCCCCACCGCCCAAATCTCATAGTGTCTGCTAAGATCGGTTGGTCTCAGCCTTCTTAGCTTCTTCTTTTCCTTCTCCTCCCCCGGCCAAAGTCGATTAAAAGGGCTATTCCCTGTTGCAAAAACCGAAAAGTTAAAAGCCCCCTCCCCGCCCCCTTCATTGACTTCTTGAACGGGCTATTGCTTTGACCTCAATACCAAAGTGTGATTTGCCATCACTGGCAATGTTTAAGAAAGGATTGAAATGGTATAAGGGTCTCCTGTTGGTGTGCAGGGGGTTGGACTGGAAGACCTCCAAGGTCCCTTCCAGCTCTATTCTGATTGATTGACTGGTTTGCTTTTTTTTTTCCTGGTTTGGTTGGTTGGGCTTTTGATCTTCGTGACCTTGCCCATCGACCTGGCACTTCTCTTGAGTGTCTAGAGTTCCTTAGAATTAAAATAGTTGAAGAGGAATTAAAAAAAAAAAGTTTATTATCCAGTCTTAGTTTGTATTTTGACAACAGGGTTTTTTTCTGAACCAATTTCATTGATGTCCTGCTGTTTGAATCGCTAAAATGACTGTAGTAGACAATGCACATTGAAGATTCATGGGAAAAGAAATGATTTGATGTTTTTCTTAAAATTTTGCTGTTGATGATTAATAGACCTTAATTTTGGCTTAGAATTATATGCAAACTCATCTAGCTGTAGATATTTAATAATTAGAAGAACCAAGGCTTAGCATATTCTGTAAACTTAACTGTTATTTACATTAAATTTTAAGTTCCTGTCGAAGCCTTCTAGATGAATGGAAAATTTATTAGTGCGTGATTTGAAAAGAGGAAAAGCATCTTAATTATTCCAGTTTTCCTTTCTGTTCCTAGAGAAAGTCTTTTACATATTTTATATATTGTCATGATGTGTGAATCCAGCCACTGATATTTATTTTTCAAAGTATGGTTTTTTGGCTTAGCTCTTGGTGAATCATGTGTCTGACTTTATGGCTTGTGCAATAAGTTAATTAAATTTAAATTAAGTTAAAGTATGTTATGTTAGTATGTAAGAAATGCCATCCTCAAACTAGCATTTTCCTCACATGACTCTGTGGCAGTTGTACAGCTTTGACAGTCCTAAATAAATAAATTAAAAAAAATCTGTCCATTAGTTGTCCTCTCCAAAATGCAGATACTTTTGAAACCACTTTTGTATACAGTGGATAATCAATGTAATAATTATTACAAAACTTGATTATGGCCTCCTTTTTTGTGCCTTTATAAAAGATCACTTAGAACTCTGGAAATAGATGTCTGTCAGGTGCCATCTGTCATTATAATCGTCATATTCAGGGCCAGTATGCTGAGGAGGGGGAATAAGAAACCTATTGAATTTGTGTTTTATCTGTTTGCTATTTGGAAGGTAGTTGTTAGATAGAGAAAGTTAATGGATCTTTGATCTGATTGGAAAAACTATAATACATCATGTTAACTGTTTTTAATGTTATCTAATGTTTTCCATCTTGGGAAGATTATTCTATACTATCAATCCTACTAGAAATTTCAACTCTGTTAGTAATTTATTTGTTTATTTTCATTTTACAAACAACTCAAGGCAGCGAAAATATCCAGTACAGCTTCCTCCTATTTTCCTCAAAACAAGCTGTGAATTGGGTGGGGCTGTAAGAGGGTGGCTTGCCCAAAGTAATCCAGCTGGCTAATTTGAAAGTCTATTGATAAAATATTGTTTCAGTAATGCTATACAGTATTTTAAACTTTATAAGAAGATACATTTCTCTGTTGCTTAAATGATCAGCCCTACTATATTTCTTCCTATGGGCTACATGCTTTGAAAGTTGTAACCTTCTGTACCAACTTCCTGGTATGTTTTAGGAGCTTTCAACATCCACATGCATCAGATACACGAAACATGGGTTTCCTAAAGAGCGAGAAAATTCTTATTACTAACTAGATCCATTTCCCACTGGAAAATAGATTTCAATAAAAGCACATTAACTTTAGAGTTTAAAATAAAGTACTAAAGTACTTTAAAGTACTAAAGTTCTAAATAAAGTACTATGTTCAAAATACTTTAATAACATTGCCTATAGCTAAGAAAATTAGTGTGGATTAATTTAATGATCTAATAATGTCTTCTTGGTATTTGCAGTCTGCGATAGAACTATTTGTGAATAGACTGGATTCTGTGGAATCAGTCCTTCCTTATGAATATACTGCGTGAGTATATTATTCCTAATTTGGTTTGTAACATTGAACTAGTAGTACTTTATGAATGCTTTGCTAAGCCAAAAGAGGAATGGCTATCCCAATTCAGCCATGGTGGAAAATTACTTTTGCCCTTTGGATTAGTTCTTTGATGTAATATTTGAGTTGCTGAGTCCCGAGCATTTGTCCTGAGGACAGTATTGTATTCATTTGCTCAGTTGTAGATGTTAATTTTATAATTTATCTATACTATTTTAAACAAACATGGGACCACATTTGTTCCATAGTATAGATGTGGTCATAATGCATATCTAATAAAGGTTATTTTAGTTGTGATCTATTGTATTTTAGGATCTCATAACTAAAAATGTTCAAATTGCTAAACTAATTAATTTTAAATATCAGTATTTATTAGATTTCCTGTACATCTTAATGCAAAAATACAATTCTTTTGGAAAATACACTGCTCAAAAAAAATAAAGGGAACACTTAAACAATACAATGTAACTCCAAGTCAGTCGCACTTCTGTGAAATCAAACTGTCCACTTAGGTAGCAACACTGATTGACAGTCAATTTCACATGCTGTTGTGCAAATGGAATAGACAACAGGTGGAAAGCATAGTCAGTTTGCGTGACATCCCCAATAAAGGAGTGGTTCTGCAGGTGGTGACCACAGATCACTTCTCAGTTCCTATGCTTTCTGGCTGATGGTTTGGTCACTTTTGAATGCTGGCGGTGTTTTCACTCTAGTGATAGCATGAGACAGAGTCTACAACCCACACAAGTGGCTCAGGTAGTGCAGCTCATCTAGGATGGCACATCAATGTGAGCTGTGGCAAAAAGGTTTGCTGTGTCTGTCAGCGTAGTGTCCAGAGCATGGAGGCGCTACCAGGAGACAGGCCAGTACATCAGGAGACGTGGAGGAGGCCGTAGGAGGGCAACAACCCAGCATCAGGACCGCTACTTCCACCTTTGTGCAAGCCGGGACAGGAGGAGCACTGCCAGAGCCCTGCAAAATGACCACCAGCGGGCCACAAATGTGCATATGGCTGCTCAAATGGTCAGAAACAGACTCCATGAGGGTGGTATGAGGGCCCAATGTCCACAGGTGGAGGTTGTGCTTACAGCCCAACATCGTGCAGGACGTTTGGCATTTGCCAGAGAACACCAAGATTGGCACATTCGCCACTGGCACCCTGTGCTCTTCACAGATGAAAGCTGGTTCACACTGAGCACATGTGACAGATATGACAGGGTCTGGAGACGCTGTGGAGAACATTCTGCTGCCTGCAACATCCTCCAGCATGACCGGTTTGGCAGTGGGTCAGTAATGGTGTGGGGTGGCATTTCTTTAGGGGTCTGCACAGCCCTCCATGTGCTCGCCAGAGGTAGCCTGACTGCCATTAGGTACAGAGGTGAGATCCTCAGACCCCTTGTGAGACCATATGCTGGTGCGGTTGGCCCTGGGTTCCTCCTAATGCAAGACAATGCTAGACCTCATGTGGCTGGAGTGTGTCAGCAGTTCCTGCAAGGCGAAGGCATTGATGCTATGGACTGGCCCGCCCGTTCCCCAGACCTGAATCCAATTGAGCACATCTGAGACATCATGTCTCGCTCCATCCACCAACGCCACATTGCACCACAGACTGTCCAGGAGTTGGGGGATTCTTTAGTCCAGGTGTGGGAGGAGATCCCTCAGGAGACTATCCATCACCTCATCAGGAGCATGCCCAGGGATTGTATGGAGGTCATACAGGCACGTGGAGGCCACACGCACTACTGAGCCTCATTTTGACTTGTTTTAAGGACATTACATCAAAGTTGGATCAGCCTGTAGTGTTTTTTGTCACTTTAATTTTGATTGTAACTCCAAATCCAGACCTCCATGGGTTGCTAAATTTGATTTCCATTGATAATTTTTCTGTGAGTTTGTTGTCAGAACATTCAATTATGTAATGAACAAAGTATTTAATAAGAATATTTCATTCATTCAGATCTAGAATGTCTTATTTTTGTGTTCCCTTAATTTTTTTGAGCAGTGTATAATCTTTTTTCCCCAAGCATAAATTTTAAACATTAAAGATGGAAAAATTATGAGATTTTACACAAAAATGCAGATCTGATAAGATATGACACTCATAATGTTTTGGGTTATTTTTACTTTTAAAAAGCTTAAAACATTTTTCCTTTTGTCTTAGTATTTTTGAGCAAAGGTTGTCATTTAGTATTATGTGATGTGCCATGGTGCTTGATAATGTTGCTGTCAGCCTTCAAGATTTTTCTCCCTTCGCTTTGCTTCTTTTGTCATAAGTAACGGGGGGGGAATGATTATGGGAAGTGAGCTGGAGGTGTTACAAACCAGAACTATATAAACTGTGGGGGGGAGCGGGGTACATTCTTGCTTAGGTTTCTATCCTATGCTATGCGCAGCTGCAACCCTTTATCAAACTATGTCAAGGTCAACGGACAAGCCTCATCACCACCTGGAGATGCCCACATGATGATATACACAACTTTTAATTGGATGAGCCAGTTGAACTATTGGTGGGAACGTTGCCATTACTTTGTATATGTGATTTACGCACCCATTTTCTCAGATTCAGAATTCTTTTGTTGCTACCACTTGATTTCCAGTTAAAGGTGTCTTTTCTCTGGTTAAAAGAGTCTAAGTATTTCTTTCTTGGATTTTGAATGGAGCACCAGCTGACAGTTGCATTGGTTGGTTTGTTGATTATGTGTCATCTGTTTGTTGTAACCCTAATCCTAACCCTAACATAAATATAACTTCTCCATGACAACATCTTGTCCTTCAAGTCTTCCAATAGTGCACCCCTCACCAGTCCACCTACCAAACTACCCACCATCTTTTTCCTTTTCCACCTTTTCCAAACTTAGATCCTTTCCCAGAGAACTAGGCCTTTGCATAATGTGATTGAAATGTAATAACATAAGCTTGATGTTTCTTTAGTGAACATTTGGGTTGATTTATTCAGTGATCAATTTGTTTATTTTTTGGCCTGTCCATGGTGTTCCCAAAAAATTTTCACCAACAGCAAAGTTCAAAAGTGTCAAAACTTTATCTATCCTGATTCTTTTAAATCCAACTTTCACTTTGATAGAGTATCAGAGGGAATGCCATTAGTGTTTTGCTAGTGGCCTTCAACATAGGGATTGGAGAATATTAGGTATAATTACACTTGATTTGAAGGCTTGACCCCTATGACATTAGTAGATAATTGCAGTGCCAGTTGGAAGAGTCAAAATACTTAATAGAGAAGTTGCATTTTTATTATTTTCTAAGATCATTTTTCCTGGGTGTGGAAAGGCAATCAGACCAAAATATATTTTAAGTAGTTGATATGCAAAATACATTTTAAGTAGTTGATTCACCCTTGTTCAAACCTAAAAATACTTAAATTTTGTCCCAATTTTCAAACTAAGAAGTTCTCTAATATTAGCTTGGTCTACTATCCTGCCATTGATTGTATTTGGAAGATATACCCTATAAGATATACCCTATACTTCCTAACTCTGCTCATGCAATACAGGCACTTTAAAATCCACTGTCCGTGTCTTATGCATTTATTAAATTTGTATGAATGCCCATTTCATAAAAAGCAACTCTGGACAGTCAACAATCTAATAAAGCAACATATATGTAAGTACATAAAATCAGTATAAAATATACAGTAAAAGATAAATATTATAAAAATAAATATGTAAATCCTATGCAGAGAATAAGAATAGCTATCACAACAATGGAGCCATTTAGGCATGTCTCCAGTTCTTTGGGATTCCAGGCCTGATAACATATCCAGGTCTTAAGGGGCTTCTGGTATCTCAAAAGGGATGAATAAATCCCTTATTATTGGTATATTATAGGATTTATAGAGAGTCTGGAGTTTGCCATATCTTCGTAATATCGAAGGCTACTGATTTTTTCTCCGTGTAGTTTCTTCTATCTGACTAGTTTGGACCCTTTCTTTGAATGTTGCCAAGTTTTGTTAAACTACAACCAAAATAAAGTGGGAAGTGACATCCCTTGACTGTTGTCATTCACAGACTGAAAGACCTAAACAAATAGATGCTAAGGAATTCTACTGCTATATGCATAGTAACTAGAGGATTTACGCTTCCTCCTTAACCATAGGCAATAGTTGTAAATTCAGAAGTTTGGTGACATCAAAATATTTTCTCAGATTCCAATTTTTAGCTTTTGTTACTATATAGTTTTAAATGATATGATTTTAAGTTTATGATATCAGCTTTGGTATTAACATTATGCTAAAATATTAATATACATTCATGTATAGGATGTCACATAAGGTGATATTCTCTGAATGTTATTTTCTTTTATTTCTTGTTTGCTTGGTTGCCTCTTTTTTATTTGAGTCATTGACTAAAATGAAGAATTGATTTTCTGAGTAGTTCGATTAAAACAGTTCCAAAATATGATTGAAAGTGTTAATTTCTGAAAATGTATAAGCTATTTAAAATTTAGAAAAATAACTGGACCTTTGATAAAATGTGATGCGCAGAGAGCTGTTCAAATAAAATAATTTAACCCATACTGAGAATGTTGGAATTTTATAAATCTGTATTCTTTCCTAGATTCGATTTTTGCCAAGCAGAGGGAGGAAAGCGACCTTCTGAAAACCTTGGCCAAGTATTGTTTGGTGAGAGGATTGAACCATCTCCCTACAAGGTATAATCCTCATTTGAACAACTGAAGAAATGTAAAATTGCAAAACAGAAAGCATGAATCTCATTAAGAGGAAAACTTGTGCAGAACTGTTGCATGGGAAGTACCAGTATGTAGCATTCTTGGGCCAATTTTAGAGACATGGAAGGAACCTACGGATGCTAGACTTGCTCTGGTTTTTTTTTTTTTTTTGCTTGCTGCTGCTAGGATTAACGACAGCATTCTAATTCGGTTTGATGATATGGCCTCATTTTGCATTTCTCACAGTGCAATTCCTTGATGGAGTTACTGTGTTAAAATTAAAATGGCACACAGCTGCTCACATCCTACTAGCTTGGTTTTTCTGGCAAATGGTAGGCAGACAATCTGAAAGCAGCTTTCAGTGGACATTTAGTCAGACTTGCTGATGCCATTTGATTTTCTCACACTGCAGTGTTGATAATGTTTGACTGTCAGGTGTTGCATTGTGGAGAAGTGAAAAAAAATACAGTTTTGTGAAAAAGTTAGTACACCCCCAATGTGTGTACTGCACATTGTAAAGGTTTTTTAATGTATGTGGACAAATCGGTTATTTTATCTTCAGTCAAACTATATATAAAGCTAAAGATGACATAATTACACAAAACTATTACAATTTTCTTGGTAATGATTTATTCAACACAAAATTAACAGATATATACTTTCCTCTGTGGAAAAAGTTAAGTACATCCTTGGCTCTAATATCTGGTATTGCCTCCTTTGGCAAGAACAATTTGAAGCAGGTAGTTCTACTACTATCTATGAGACTCCAACATTGACTGGAAGGAATTTCTTCTTCAGCTGTGTGAATGTTGGAGGGGTTTCTTGCATACACAGCCCATTGCAAATCACCCCATATCTTTTCAGTAGGATTTAATCACAGCTTTGGTTTTGCCATTCCAGAACTCTCCATTTTTTGTGGGGGATTTTTTAGCCATTCTTCGGTGAATTTTCTGGTAAGTTTTTAGGATCCTTGTCATCTTGCGAGGTCTATTTTTGTTTAAGATTCACTTTTCTAACTGATAGTCTCATATTGTCCTCAAGCACCTTCTGGTACAATGAAGAATTCGTAATCGATTCTGTGATGCTGAGCTGCCAGACCCTGATGCAGCAAAGCAGCCCCAAATCATAACATTTCCAACATTAATTGGTATCTGATGAATGTTTCTTCTGGTGAAATGTTTCATTAAACATGTCTTCTAATACTGTGGCCAAGTAACCCTATATTTGCCTTATTTATTCAGAGCACATTCCAGAAGACCTGGTTTTGCCTTGCTGATCATGAGTAAACTTTAATCTTGCCCTGATGTTTTTTCTGGATGGCGAAGATATCCTTCTGACATACCTCTTATTTAGATTTAATTTATGCAGTTCCTCTCTAAAGGTAGATTCATCCATTTTGATTCAGTTGTGGCAAAAAATACCTGTAGGTCACATGATGAAATTCTTGGTTCTTAGAGACTTGTTTCAGCATCTGCTCTGAGATTGAACTTGTCTGGCCTAGGCAAGTTGGCAGTTGAAATATTTGCTATTTGTAGATGAAACAATGGGCTAAAAATATAAGTGATGCATTATATTTGTTATAGCCCTTTTATCAGTTGATATTGTTGAAGTGAAGATCAAATATATATATGTTGAAATATATTGAACACTTACCAGTGGGGATATATCTCTCTTCACTGTCCCCAATTCATGTTTTATGGTTGTGAGCTGCTCAAATATTGAGATAACAGTTTGCGCTGTGAGGGGGCATTGTTTTGCCATAAACTCAGTTGAATTTTCCCAGGGTGCCGCTCTATGTTCTGATTTTTCTTATTATTTTGGGATTTATTTTTCAGCTCCCCTGAAGCAGGTACCTGAGTTGGTTACTTATGAAGGTGACTGGCTATCATTTTGCTCTTCCCCCAAGAAATGAGGAAAGATCTAACGGTTATTGTTTTGCCAGCTGTTTGGTGGTCCCATTCTAGTGCTTCAAATTTGTTAGAGGTGGGTGGTGGCTGGGATTTGTTTTACTTACAGTTCTCTTTCTTGCAAAGTGCTTCTCAATTCTTGGCGGTTTTACAGATTTCAAAGGAGGGAGATGTCCTGGGCTAACACCATGGCATTTTTTTCTTTTCCTCAGTTCTAGGCAAAATCTGTTATCTTTGTATTTGTAGTTAAGTAAAAGTACTACAAAATTAATTATATAATAGAACTGAGCAGAGCTCTTGTAAAGTGTGTTGCGGTTCAGGTTTCTTCCCCAGTGGGGTTATATCTTTTTCACACGACTGTAGTTATGCTGCTGAATCCATTTGCATCAGTCATCACTTGTCTTATCAGAATACTGAATTGCTGTCTGCCTTTGGTCAGCCCTGGTGCTGTTTATTGCCTGACTCCGTCTGTTTTTGTTTTTTTAGGCATATACAGTCATTTTGGGGGGCAGATTCTGCTTTCTGTGATTAGGCAGAAGGTGACATGTAGCACAAGCAGATCTGAGGAGAGGTGGTTTTAGTCAATAAAATGGAAAAGGCCCAAGTTTTAAAAGAGCTGAGTTTTCAAAAAAAACTTATTCCCATCTTAACAAAGTTATTTGGCTGTATAATAATTGTGGATTGGAGTTATATGCTAATTTATTAATTTAGAAATGCTTGGAGGTTATCAGTAGTTTGTTTTCTTGGGCCAACAGCTACCTCAAATTTTATATTGACTGTAGTTAAGTTAGATTGTTGGTTGTTTTTTTTCACTGTGCAACTTTAGGCCACAACTGCTGCATGAATTACCACCAAGGTTTGAGGGCTCTCTGAAAGAAGCCCTAGGATCTACTCTTACATTTGCAGAAACACACGTAGTGTGATCATCTAGACCAGGGGTGTCCAACCTTGGCAACTTTAAAGACTTGTGGACTTCAACTCCCAGAATTCCTCAGCCAGCAAAGCTGGGAGTTGAAGTCCACAAGTCTTAAAGTTGCCAAGGTTGGACACCGCTGATCTAGACCTTTACTTTGCAGACTCTATATCATTGAGTACATTTTTCCCCTAACCCAATGCTTTCTAGATATGGTGACTTACAATTCCTAATATCTCAAGTAGCCCTTCTGATGGAATCATAATGCAGTGCATCTGAAAGGTTGTGCTAGAACTGCTCTGTACAGCAATCTGATATTTACCTTCTGTTTTTAACATTGATTTTATTATCTGACTTCTGCTTTGATCTTGATGGGACAATGCTTTCATTAAATGTCAACTGATATTTGGTGCTTATTGGGTCCTTCCAAAATAGAGGTGCCTATGTATGACAATGCTCCTCAGGTTTCATTATTGTCAGGTGTTTGCAATTCTACCCCTCTGTTTTTGGAGGAATCTATCCCTGTAGAAAAGTATAATTTAGCTGTTAAACTGTAAGCTGAATCCTTCAGAGTTGAAAATCTGATTTCTTTTTCTGTATGGATTCAAGAAAGGTTCTTGTTTAAGAGAAACAAATGGACATAGAATAGTTGGACTACAGCCTTATTTGGCTTAAACAAACAATTGCTTTAGAAATATGAATTTATACAGAAGAGAGAATGCCACTTTTAATGAATGATATCTTGATTACATACATTGATTCAACAATAGTATATGGAGCTGCCAACTAGTCTATTTGTATAAAGTTTCTGTCTTAACTTTGCTATAGGTTTTAAGATAGAATTCCTTCTAACCTGAATATTTTTCATTTTTCATAGTTTGACTTTAACCAAAAAGAGACTTGCAAACACGTTTGTACAAAAGAATATGATCTTAGTAAACCTGAACAAAGGCAAAAATTACAATTTCTGAAAAAGAGTATGCTATTAAACTATCAGCATCATTGGTGAGTTTACAATTTTAATGTATGTGGTTTAAATTTTAGCAGAAATACAATTATTTTATGGTATTTTAGTTAAAATAAAAGCAATGGTTATTTTTATGTCAAGTGCTGTGGATTGACACAATTGTCAATCTACAGTTAAAACCTTACTTAGCTATAGTAAAAGAACTATTGTATAAACAACTCTTACAGAACTCCAAAGAACAATTTTTAATAAAGTAAATGTATCAGAAATTCATTCATATTTTTTTTTCTTGGTGATACAGCCAGACAATTTTTCATTGTTTTTGACTACAACATTCTAAACTGGTTAATCCCCTGAGTTATTTAAAATATGCGATTTAATATATCGACAATCAAAATACAAGTAACAAATAATATGTCATGATCCCGACTAACAAACCCAAGCAAATCAGAACTCTGAGACTGAGGTCTTCCTCTAAGAATGTCTTTATTGGGTACATCATTATCAGCACAATCAAATGGAAAAATAATTCCTAATGTTTACCATGGTTTCAGCATAATTAAAATGGGAAATAACTCCCTGCCCAAAAGTCACAGGTCACATTGGCCAATTTGATTGATTGGTGAGCTCTCTAGGCAATCCTCCCTGTTTCTATCTACCACCTGTAGAAATAACCTTCCCCCTCTTGTGGCAACTGAGGAATAGAAAAATGGCTTCTGCCAGGTTCGTTTCAAAGTTGACAGAATATATTATTTGTTCACCTCACTGCAAACTGCTGGGTTTGGCAGCCCCCCCTTTCCCCCTGCGGTGTTTCCTAGTTAGGAATGTTCTCTATAAAAATTGGTCTGCAGACCAGCTTATAATATTTTCAATGTGAATCTTTTGTCTTGGACCTTTAAATATTGATATTTAGCTTTAATGTTGTTTTCTGAAGCATTTCCTGAAGTACTTTTTTTTAAAATAGGATTGTGGATAATATGCCAGTAACATGGTGTTACGAGGTTGAGGACAATCAGAAATTTTGCAATCCTGGATTTCCCATTGGTTGCTATGTTACAAAAGATGGACATCCCAGAGGTGCCTGTGTTATAAGTGTAAGTTCCTTGAAAGTTCATCTTGAGCCACATTTTGACACCACAATCTGCAAATATTTGAACTGTGACTAAGTTGCTTATTTTCGTCTCTAATTGAGTGAAGGCTTTATCGGGGCTTTTATTAATATGTTACTGTTCGGTTTAAATAGTTGATATTCAATTTATCAATGTAAGGATTGCCCCACATATCTTTTAAACATATAAGTCATATGGATTTTTATTTCACATGTTTGGTTTTTGTTATGTAAGAAGGTATCTTGTGTGCTTTGATTTAATTCTGCGTCCTTACAGATGAGCAGAGCAGAATGAGGCAGGTATTCAAAGGATAATTCTAATCATAGCAAGATAGTCAGCTTAGAATTATGTCAATCTGATAGTTATCTAGCTTGCTAAGATTGCACAGTGTAACTAAAGATTGTTGAATTAATTTTTGTATTTTACATCTATCCACAGTTAATGTATAAGTAAAATTATTTGGAGAATTTGGGTTTTCAGAGGAAGAAAGCTTGCTTTTAAAACATGAGATATAATTCATTTTTACAATTTATTTTGACTCACTTTGAAACACTTCATTTTGTTAGCACCATAATTATTTCCTTGTTCTACAAAAAACAAGATTTTTAAATGTTCCTAGCAGTTGTAATACTTTGTACAAAAATAAATGCAATTAGATACGTAGTTAATTCTACAGATACTCCTTTGTAATGTCTACTCATTTAGCAACTGTTTGAAGTGACAGTGATGCTAATAATTTACTGTGGATCCTCATAGTTGTGGATGTTTCAGCATCCCTACAGTCATATCATATTTCAGGTGCTCAACTACCACTCATAATTACAGTGTTACAATGTCCTGCAGTCATGTGGTTGCCATTTGCAATTTTCATTGCTGGCTTCCGACAAGCAATGGCAAAGCTTTCATGAAATTGCAAATGGCAATCACTTGACTCAGTCACGTGATTGCCATTTGCAATCACATGACAGTGGAAAACTAACAGCTGTTGTAAGTCAGCATAGTTATACAAAGTTACTCTTTAAACCTGCATTGTTTGATAATGGAGTTCCCAATCCCACTTAAACTTGGTGAGGATTACCTGTAATTTGAACATTTAAAATTGATTTTAATTTGATAAGGGTACTTCGTTTAAGATGTATCCTAAATTTGTAAGTAATCTGGCTTGATTTTTTTATTCTTTACTAACAGCAAAATGTAGCTTAGACTTTCCTATTGACGACATGGTATATATTTTATGCTCTTAATTTATTTTATGCATCAAAAGCAGCACTGACAAACAGTACCTGAACAGTTTATGAGCTGAGAGTGAAACTGTGAATTCGAAAGCAACTTATTACTTGACTTTATTCAATTATAATAGTAAACAATAGTTAGTTCACATATTGGACACAGGCTTAATACTGCTAATAAGTTTATATCCTTGTGGTTCCATCAGCGAGTAGGTTTACAACTGATAGCTAACAATTAATCTGCAGCTTGGATTGCACACTTATTAACAGGTCTTATGAAGGTGGGACTGAAGTAAACCAAGCCAGAATCCTGCCTCTCTATTAACAAGAGAGAAAATTTGTCAGTGGGACTGGTTCATAGCACTTACAGTTTAGTGTTAGGAGCTGTGGTAAGCACTGGGCTTGTGTTTTCCTTTCCTCTGAAGGTAGAGAGTTTCTTGGCTTTCCTTTCCGTTGAGCAGTCCTCAGGAATAATCCATTATTAAATTAATGTAAAAATGCTAAAAGTACTTAAGAATGATTTTCAGCAAGGAATCCAAACGTCAGAATTTGGCCCAGACTAATTTGATAGTAGTTCTTCAGTTTGTCATCTTAAGAAATCTTCAAGTCTTGCTTTTGGTAATGGTTTAACTGGAAACAGATGTGGAGCTCATTATGGTGGTGTTTTCATGTAGGATAGCACATAATCAGGACAGGCTTAGTTTCTTCAATTTAAAAAGAATATCCGTATTCTAATTTAGTTTATTTTATGTTCTTTAGTCAGAATTCCATGATTCAGATACTTTCTATATATTCAACCATGTGGATATTAAAATAGTCTATCATGTTGTGGAAAATGAAGCACCAAGGGCAAGACTCGTAGCTGCTAAACTTGAACCAAAAAGGTGAATATTGATTTTTATGTAAGAGAGCACAAGATTATGTGGGATGCATGATGCAAATGAGATTTTTGATAATTAAAACGAAGTAAGAAAACTTAATGTGCCATCTACAGGGGTCTTCTTATAACTTGGCCAAATATCTGATGCCAGAGAAAATGTGTACATAAACAAAAATCTAGGACTAGTTTTGTCAGAGAGTTTGAGATGACTTAGTGGGTCTCCTTTCATTAATTTGATTCCTATCACAACAGCTTTATAAGGTACAGGTAACAATTGTGAGAGAGTGACTGGCTCAAAATCTCTTGGGGAATCATTCATGCATTCATGCATTCATTCATTCATTTTGATGTGGCACCTCCTGACTCCAGAGTGGCTCTGGGTAGACCACAGTAAAATTATCCGAATCAACAATAATACAGTAAAAACCTCTTTAGCCCCATGAGGATTTCAATCTGGTCTCCACTATTCAAATCAACACTTTGATTACTGTGCTACAGTAGAAATAAAATACAGCACACACAAACACACGCACGCATGTATGTATGGTATTCAGCTTTGTTCGAATATGTTCGAGATGTTTCGGCAGAATCTCATCTGCCATCATCAGCCAAAACGTCGCTACAACTTTAAAAGCACAACTATAATGATGTGGGAAAATACCCGAAAGAAGCTGAATACCATACATATAAATACCCCTGAAAACTTAAGATTATAATATTAAAATATATATATGCAAACTCTTGACTGTATCTTTATTCTGCTAAATCCTTAAATATTGTATGATGCCTTTTAAAGAAATGTTCTTAGGAGTTAGTAGCTATAATGGATTGAGTAGAATCTTATCTTGTAACAGTGATTCTGCTTGAATGATGATAGCTTTGACTTTGTAGTGTGTCCATTCTTTCTTATTTTTATTTAACTACATTTCAAGCTGTTTGAAGTTTTATTTTTCTCTGTGCAAAGGTATATAACTCCATGGCCAAGACTTCCCATTTGTGTCTCTTACTTTCTAGGTAGTATGTTTGCTCTCTTCCATCTTTCTTTTGTTGATATAATTAAATTTGCCTCTTCATAAGTTCGGTTTCTAATGTTATGACTACAAAACATTGTACTTTGGGCTTTGATGTTAAAGCATGGTTAAGATTGAACATGCATATTGTGATTATACCTATAATTTGCTTGTTTTTTTTTTAGTTTCAGGCACACAAATATTGACAAACCAGACTGCTCAGGACTACCTATGGGTTTAAGGAACATTATTAATGATGGAACTGTCAAAATTGCTTATACATATTCAATTAGTTTTGAGGTTGGTACAGATAACGTCATTCCTTTTGTGTCAGGCAAATTAAATTGAGTATGTGGTCATGACATATTTAAGTGAAATAAGATGTTAACTGATTAAACTGTTTATTCATCCAAGACATCAAACAGCATGGCAAACTAATCAGCTGTGATTTGATGGTTATACTTTGTTGTGGGTGCTCTGTTATTGGAAATTTTCAACAAGAGATTGGACGATCATTTGGAATGGCATAAAGTCTTCTGCCTTAGGCAAGGATTTGAACTAGAATACCTCTAAGGTTCCTTTCAGTCCTATGATTCTATGTCTATGTCTATTTAGTGAGCAGGTTAATAATAATAACAGTAGAATAGAGTTGAACCTTCCTCTGTCATATTTGGATTCCCTTTTCACTTTTCCTAAGCGGGGGCAGTGGAGTTGGAACAGCCTCAGGTGTTGAAAGGTCAAGTTAGCTCCCCTTCATTCTTGGATAGTGTCAACTTGTAAAACATTTCTACACTTGTTTCCAAGTTGGCATAAGAAAGAGGAAAGGGTGGGAGGAAGGACTGGAGAAGCATACGGCAAATGAACTTAGAAGCACGTTCCAACTTTATCTTAAAAAAGATTATAGCTAAGCACTGAAGCTTTTGCCTGCAAAAAACTTTAATTGGAGAATGTGATGGATGACACATAGCCTGTGTACATGCTTAATTGGAGAAACTGATTTATGGTCATGCCAGTATGTCGCTCCTAATGAATTCTTTGAAGTTTTTTGAAGTTTGGCTCAAGACTCATGATTTAATTAGGGCGATTGCTGGAATCCTGACAGCTAGGACATATCATGGCCCATATAAACTATACTAGAACAACTCACAAAAATGAATTGTTACAGTACTCAGCCATAATTTAATTATAGTTTTGGTCTAGATAGTACATCAACCTAGCTACATTATGACATGAGAGAATATATTTTATTCTTGAATTTTGTACATACTCTATTTCTGTCTAATTTATATACAGTTAGTTCTTGATTTATGACCACAATTGAGCCCCAAATGTCATTGCTAAGTGAGATAGTTGTTAAATGAGTTTTGCTCCATTTTATGACCTTTCTTGCCATGGTTAAATGACTCACTTAAGATGCTAAGTTAGTAGCCCAGTTGTCAAATGAATCTGGCTTCACCATTGACTTTGTTTGTCAGAAGGTTGCAAAAGATGATCACATGGCCCTGGAACAACCATCATAAATATGGACCACTTGCCAAGGACCTGATTTTTGATCGCCAAGGACCTGATTTTTGATCACCAAGGACCTGATTTTTGATCACGTGACTGTGGGAATCCTGCAATAGTCATAAGTGTGAAAAACAGTCATAAGTCCCTTTTTTCTATTGCTTTGTAACTTTGAACAGTCACTAAACAAATGACTAAGTAGAGAACTACCTCTGGTTGAGGTAGTCGCAAACTCACAAATGGTGACTCTGGATGCTAAGATTAGACTAAAATCAAAACCAACCAGCAATGTAAAATCAATAGAGAAAAAAATACAAGGCATAAACATTTTAGCTGTTGCAAGCAGGCTCACCCAGGGCATTGGCTCAATAGCTGGAGGAAAAGCTGGATCTTTGAGACTAAATAAAAGGCCAGCAAGATTAGAACAATCAACATCTCTGGGATATTCTGCACTGTGACACTTCCTGGGATAGTCCAAATGGTTTTATACAAGGGGCCCAGAAGCACGCCCATCCGGTCAAATCTCATGGGATGGGCAGAAATAATAGGCAATGCATGTGCCATAAAGAGCTTTATATGTGGTAACCAGCACACTGAATTGCAGCTAGAAACTTTCTAGGAGATAGGCAGCTCACAAAGTACCAGCATGCCTATTAACTGGCTGCACTACTGCATTCTCAGCTATTGAAGCTTCCGGTGATCTTCAAGAGCAGCCTGGGCTGAGTACTTTATAGTAGTCAAACCAGGGAGTCACCAAGGTATGAGTGACCGTGAGTAGGACTGCCTGATCCAGGATTGGTGCACAAGATGGATTTGTATAAATAAGGGAGATCAAACAGGAGAAGAGACACCTGAAGGGTAATGAATGGTGAATCTGATTAAGCATCATTCATTCGTTCATCCGTTCGTTCTTTCACTCAGTCTCTATGGCTGCCTATCTCAGAAATTAGAATCACAACCCTACTGTGTGATAAAAAGGACAATAAATCCTCAATATTTTCTGTCTTTGTGTCCTCAGTCAGTACACCTTGGTATATCCACATTATACTTTGCTTTGCAAATTGTGCTGCTTCTGGCACAATTTAAGATGCTGGCTGTTATCTATAAAACCTTTCATGGCACCAGCTGGCCTGTCTAGAAATGGGTCTTTAATGGTTTGGGCAGCATGAATTCAGACAGAATTTTGGGAGTGACAAAAATTAAAACCTACTAGGAGGTAAAGTTTTCAAAATCCTGAAAAAATGACTTTCATTTGCTATTTTGTTTTTTCTGATATTTTCTATTCCCCCAAAACCCAGAAATCTATTTCTAAAAATTCAAGATGAATAACTTATTTTTTCAGGAAAATACAGAAATTAGATGGGCATCCAGATGGGATTATATTTTAGAATCCATGTCCCACACGCACATACAGTGGTTTAGGTAAGGCCTACTTTCGTAATTCAGACAATTTTACAGATAGATATAAAAATGAACAATTCTAATAGCAGGTTGCCTTGTTTTCCAGTATAATGAATTCGCTGGTGATTGTCCTTTTCCTCTCTGGAATGATAGCTATGATTATACTAAGGACTCTGCATAAGGACATTGCAAGATATAACCAAATGGATTCTACAGTAAGTATACAATTGTTCTGGAAAATTCCTTTCTCCCTCCCTCTCTCCCTCCCTCCCTCTCCCCTCCCCTCTTCCGTCTCTTTAAAGCAGCAAGGTCTCACGTTGTATACGTAGGTATTTAATTTTCATAGCTGAAGGATAAATGACGACTTGATGAAATAATTCAAGTAGATGGAACCAGATTTTCATACAGAGATTGCAAAGTGTAGTATTAAATCAGATTAGATTATTCAGAGATGGGTGTCTGCTTTGGTGTGCAAAGTTTAAACAAAAAGCTTTTTTGTTTTTCTACCCCAAAACACCAGGAAATTGCATTACTGTTCCTCAATTATTTGTTGTTGAAATTTAGTGATGTGCTTTCTGAAAGCTGCAAAAAAGGGGTCTTAGGGTTAATTACCCTTAGGGTTAACAATAGCATGTTATACTGTTTAATACTTTCTAATTAATAGTTCTAACATAATATGAGTCCTTTTTCCTCATCAAGGCTCTGTTTTATATAAATATATTTGCAATCACACTGTTATGTAGACTATGACCAGTTAACTTTATTTTAGCTCAGCTCAGTTGTATAGAAGCAAATACATTGATTGTATGTCTGTCCTTCTCAGATTGCATAAATGCACTTGTTTAACAGTAATAGAATTCAGTAATAGAATTTTGGGTAATATTTAATTTTTAAAGAAAAATAGTAATGCAGATTCTTCTGTGGGTGTGATTCAGTTTCCATGGACATACTTATTAATAGCAGATATTAATAAAGAACATAATATTATTTGTTGTACCATCATCTCCTTTAGCTGTGAAAAAAGCACTGCAGGATGTGTCAGTTGGCAACATCTTTCTTCTCTACTTTTTGGTTACTTTTTGTCACAGATATAATTTTTAAAAATGAAATTAGTCATTTGAAGAACAATTGCCTTTTTTGCTGTGCTTATTAAATAATATCGAGAGTTAGTTTATGGTTATGTTGTATCCACAATTAGGAGAACTGGTGGGCCCATTTGAAAGGTTGAAGTTCAACCACCATGGAAAATGTGACCAGTTTACCAGAAGACAAACTCAAATGAAGCTAACAGTTTCCCCAGATTTTTACTTGTAAGGAAGTAGATATGATGGTCTGGGCTCCAAAAATCAAATCTCATATTTGTGTATATGGAGACATACTCCTAAATGAAACAGCTTTCTTGACTGCTGTTTGAGTAGAAAATTGGATACAAATGGGATATTTAACACCTGGATATATTCATTGAAGCGCATCCCCTCCCAAACATAAGCAAAAGTGTAAGCCGTGCATGCTGGAAACAAACAGCCTGTAATGGTATGTGGGAATGATTTTGGGAGACTGAAGAAATGCTGCCTAGGGAATGGTCAAATAAGAGAGAGCATAGCCCAGCGGTCCCCAACAATTGTAGCCCAGTGCGGGGGAACTGGGCCACACGAACAGCGGGTTGATGCATGCATGCAGCCCTTGTGTGAGTGGTGGACCAGCACAGACGTGCAGCTTGACTTGCATGAGCAGCAGGTCACCGCACACCTGTGCGATTGCCTGTCGGCTGGCAACTCACACAAGTTGAGTTGTGCATGCATGCAGATGTGCTCAGCTAACCACATGAGCGGTCCAGTTCCAAATGGCCATGGCTTGGTAGTGGACCATGGCCCAGGGGGTTGGGAACCTTGGCATAGTTTACAGTTGCATGGTGGGTGAGAGGCTTAGGAAGGACCTCCCTAAGTTATTTGAGCTGTAAATGTGAGAGCAGGAGGATTATACCTGATAGAATTGTACAAATCAGATTTCATATACAAATCAGGAAAAAGGAGAAAAATTACATGGAATAGGATCCCTGTGTGGGCTGAGGAACATATTTGCAGATATACAGAAGTCCACCAACTTTGGGGACCTCAAATTGTTTATTTATTTATTTGATTGATTGATTGTTGTTCATCTCAACAAGTGACCCAGGGTGGCATACATCATAAAAAAATGCTGTTGAGATTCTGGAATGAGGCCAAACACATGTTGAATATCAATGCTAGGGAAAAGTTTCACTGATTTGTGTCCCAGGTTTAGTGACTTTCTATAGAGTAGAAACGCATATTCTTGCTTGTAGGACAATTCGAAAACTTTTTATCTTTGCATGTTAATAGAAAAGAATTCTGAGGTTCATATATAATAGGTTTCTGATGCATGTTTTGAATGTTGTAGAAGCTTTGTATTTCCCATCATGTTGGAAGATTATGTGAAATGATTAGAATGATTTTATTCATAGCACTCTTTGAATAAACTGAATTGATTGAAACTGAATACATAAAAAATTGCATATCTGAAAAGGATAAATAGATAATAAGAGTATAATAAATGATGAGTTGGGAAACCTATACTATGTGAATCAGACATATCATTGTAATATGCTAAATTGATCATTTCCTTTTCAGGAAGATGCTCAGGAGGAATTTGGCTGGAAATTGGTTCATGGTGACATATTTAGACCCCCACGAAAAGGAATGCTGCTTTCTGTCTTTCTGGGTTCTGGAACTCAGATTTTAATTATGACATTTGTTACATTATGTAAGTACAGTATAAATACTGTTAAAATACTGGTTCATTTTCGAAGTCTGAATTCTTTAAGCAGGATTTCAAGAATGCTCTGTGTTGTAGGAATAGCTAGTTATATATTAATGTGTAAACGCAACAAGTTGAGGCTGGAGTGTGTTTATCTTGTACTGTGCTAAGAAGAGTTGGAAATCAATGCCACTAATAACGCTCCTTGTGCCCCAAAAGACCTGGTCTTGTGCGGAAGACTGGGGGAGGGGAGCGGGGTGGGGAATTGTCGGAGCTTCCATACATTTGCTAATATCTAGAAACTGGCTCCTTTCAACTCTTATTCCTGAATTTTGTACAATTCAGTTAAATCATTATGAGAACATAGCAAACACTATAACCTTTAAAGATATTTATTTAACTTCCGTGCCACCCATCTCGCCTTTTTTTTCCTTGCCATCTCTTCCCCCTTTTTTTCTTGATATGTGTTCATGTAGTCACATGAGGCAATGTATCGTAACATGGGCATCTTTTAAATGTTTGGACTTCAATTCCCAGAATTCTCAGCAATTGCTGTGACAGGTAATTGCCAGGATTAAAAAAGAAATCCCACTGTTTTATGGACTGATTATCTTTCTGGGAGGTTTTTAACTGTAGATCTGGAGAAAAAACAACACTGTTTTACAAATGGTTCCATTACTTGTAGCCATTCTGTCCAGGAGGTGTGGTTCAGAAAACTGGATTGAGTATTTCCATTTTAATGACCTCTCAAATGTGTGTCTACTTTTAACAGTCTTTGCTTGTCTGGGATTTTTATCCCCTGCAAATCGAGGAGCATTAATGACTTGTGCCGTGGTCTTGTGGGTGCTTCTTGGAACTCCGGCAGGTTATGTTGCTGCCAGGTTCTACAAATGTAAGTTTAAAACTTTATTTAATCTGACAGCACTTAAATTCATTAGTGTAAATTATCATCACAGCAGTAACATTTTCTTCTCTAATGTTTGCCTTCTGGCAAGATGGAGAAATGTTTAAGACTGAAGGCTGTATGCCAGTTTACATTGTTCTGCTTTCAGGTTGGCTGGTTTTTTTTTTAAAGAAATTCTGTCAGTTGTTCTCATTTTGATATATTTGAAAGGAAGGGAAAGCTGTGGAAACTGACTACTGTTAGGTATGAAAATGAAGTTGTTGATGGCCTTTGAAGTTGCACTATGTTTGACATGTGATGCTTACATTGTTCTGTCGTTTTCTTTAGTATGGTATCACTTGAAAGGAAGCGAAATACCATATTCACTTTATACTTTGTGACACTTTGCTGAGGTCCTTGATCAGTGATTATTTTTATTTTAATGGATATGTTGTAGAGGGAGTACGTTGTGTTCATATGTGTTTACGTAAGCCATTTTATTGAAAACAGTTGAGGCTGAACTTCAGTGTCCACAAATAAAAAAATTAAGAGCCATTTAAATTATTTATTCATTCAATTTCTATAGCCACGCAACTCAACCAAGTGCCTTTGGGTGGCTTACAATTCTCAAATTGTAAAATAACAAAAACATCCATAAAATAAATAAGTACAGACAGCAGTTATGATGATTAATCAGCTAATAGCAATAAAGTTTAATAATTTTAAGTAGAAACATTAAATACTGTATGTAATGTTGAAATTTTCTTCTTTTTCTTTCTTCCTATGTTATAAGCTGGACTTTAAAATATAATTTTCTCTGGCAAGTAAATTAGCCTTTTGAATTGCTAAAATTGGAGAATAGGATAAGAACAGGATTCTTTCTTTAAAGTCATAATAATTCACTTTTTGCCTAATATATTCAGATGTATTTGAGTATACCTCCATACTCTATAATTAACTGGTATTCTCCTTGTTGGCTTAATTTTTATATAGCTTTTGGGGGAGAGAAATGGAAGACAAACGTTCTCCTAACTGCTTTCCTTTGCCCTGGGTAAGCAAATTCCTATGATTAATGTTGTATACAAAATAAGCTGACCTTAAACGTGTACGTCCACGATAGCATAAACAATATATCTCCATATCATAATACATCAGAGCTGTGTAGAATTTTTATTTTTTAAATAAAAATTTGTTTAATTTATACCAGGGAAAAGTTGATTAGCAGTATCAACCTGGAGAAATATTTTGTAAGACAGTCTTGCTCCTCACTGACCCTTGGTTCTATTCCTTAGGCTGCTTTTCAGATCTCAGGATAGTTGGCCTTATGTGTTGTCATATGCTATACAGCTTCTGTATTCCATCTTTTGGCTTAATCACAGCAAGCAGTTGTTCCCTGAAGTGCAGAGATGACAGACAGACATTTGAAGCTATTTAGCTGAAATGTCAACTCCTGCAGGAGTTCAATTCTATTCCATTAAGAGAAGTAGACTTTCTTGACCTATTTGCCTGACCTGTTCTGCTTGTGAATGTTGCTTAACATTACATTAGACAAACTGTAATATGATTTCGGTAACATAGAACTTCATCAGATTTAAAATCTTCTCTCTTTTAGCATTGTGTTTGCAGATTTCTTCATCATGAATCTCATTCTTTGGGGAGAAGGGTCCTCAGCCGCCATTCCATTTGGCACTTTGGTTGCTGTTCTGGCACTTTGGTTTTGCATATCAGTACCACTGACTTTCATTGGGGCCTACTTTGGTTTTACAAAGAATGTAAGTGGTTTTACCTGAGTACATTTTGTATCTTTGACTTGTTTGCAAAATAAGTGCTGAGCCTCATCTCTCAAGAACATGTTGTCTCCAAACGAAATGCTTTAATTGAATGAATAGATAGATAGATAGATAGATAGATAGATAGACAGACAGACAGACAGATAGCAATTATGTAAAAATAAAAAAAAATGTTGGTCATTATCTTTAAAGATAAATTACTTCACGATGTGGTGCAGGGTTTCTTCAGGAGTCATCTCGGCGCAGTGGGACCCTTCCCACTTGTTCCAGTGGAAGAGGCTTACTCTGGATCCTATCTGCCAAAGTGGGCTGGCAGTATCCAGAAAAAGAGACTTTTCTACTGTGGCCTCACCCCTGGAATATTCTCCCACTGGAGGTGAAGTCCACCCCCACACTCCTGGCCTTCTGGAAGAGCCTGAAAATGTGGCTCTGCTGCATGGCCTGGACCCTGACAAGGGTGTGTTATGTTGGGGGTGGCTGACAGAGTAGAGAAGATCCCCACCCTCAGACCACCCATTGTCTTGGTTTTTAGCTTTCCTATTTATCTGTCACCCAGAGCCGCTGAATCCATGAGATTGGTGGCATAAAAATTAATAAAATAAATATAAAGCATGATCAGATTTCAGCTTTCTGTGACAGATACTTAGATTTTACTTGACAAGGCTACTTTGAACATGACAGATTTTATTATATAAACTGTGTTGGAATTCTGGTTTCGATTTACTTTCTTATTGTACTTTAAATGTATACAATTGTAAATAGCTTTAAACGGATTGTTGCTTTAGATCAGAGGAGTCGCGTCAGGGTTGTGTTTGACCACCGAGGGGGGTGGCATGGTCAGCTCGACATTTGTGTTGGGGGCACCTGTGGGGATCTGAATGTTCTGTTAGTGAAAATGGGCTCCCGAACTCTGTTTTCACCTTCAATGGCCTCCTGCAACCCTCTGCCAGAGAAAACAGAGCTACGTTTTTGCTGGCAGAGGCCCCAAGGGCCAGTCCTTTGCTGTTTCGAGGGCGGCCCCGTGGGCCAGATCTAAGCACCCCATGGGCCAGATTTGGCCCGTGGGCCTTGAGTTTGACACCCCTGTTTTAGATCAGTCTTTTTCAATCTTAGCGACTTGAAAATGTATGGACTTCAGCTTCCAGAATTCCCCAGCCAGCATACTGGTTGGAGATTTCTGGAAGTTGAAGTCCACACAATTTCAAGCTGTTGAGTTTCTAAGAAACATTATTTTAGATTGTGTGAAATACAGCTGAAATTACTGAGAACCAATTCCTTCTGTCCCTTTTTTAATACTTCTAAAGGCCATAGAACATCCAGTCCGTACGAATCAGATTCCTCGCCAGATTCCAGAACAATCGTTTTATACAAAACCACTTCCTGGGATTGTTATGGGGGGCATTCTGCCTTTTGGATGCATCTTCATACAGCTTTTTTTCATTCTTAATAGCATATGGTGAGTTTTGAAGACATTTTAATGCATAGCTATTTTTTTTTATTTGCTTTAGGTTTGCACCTATCTCTTGCATTTTTCTGTCCTTTTGACATGCCCTCAGAACAGTTTCCTGATGGCCAAAGAAAATTGTTGTGAACATGTTACTCATTCAGATAAGTTTGCTATATAGTCCAAGCTTGAAAGACTGATTTATATAAAAGAATCTGTTGCAGACCCTGAGTGTTACAATACACCTGGCTCCCAGTGGTTTGAATGTTCTGATGTGATGCAAATCTAACTTATCTGTCTTTATATTGGTGCATTTTAAAATTTGTAGACAACTTTGACTTAATTTACCAATCAGTGTCATTTTAATGGATGGAGATAATTAGAGCAGTGGTAGATGATCTTCCTAGAACCAGATAAATGATGCTTGTTCCTTGTATTTGCAGCACTTTAAATGGCATTGTAGGAATTAGTATAAACTGTTTTTCTTACTAATTGCCCATCAGCTATGGTCATAGTCAGAACCACCATCAGAGGATCGAGTGCTATCAGAGCTGTGGTGGTGCAGTGGTTAGAATGCAGTACTGCAGGTTACTTCTGCTGACTGCCAGCTGCCAGTAGTTCGGCAGTTCGATTCTCACTGGCTCAAGGTTGACTCAGCCTTCCAGTCTTCTAAGATCGGTAAAATGGGGACTCAGATTGTTGGGGGCAATATGCTGACCCCACTTAGAGTGGCTGTAAAGCACTGTGAAGTGGTAAATAAGTCTTAAGTGCTATTGCTATCAACATTTGATGAACGTTAGGGTATGAATGTTGACACATACTCTATGTAGGTTACTTTATTAAAACAGTATAGTAACACTTATACTAAGGCTTAAAGTCTCTGCAGGGTGATGTTCTAAATGAGTCTTTGTCCCGTAACTGTTTAGGCAAGGGGTTTTTTTTGGAAATGATTTGCCATTGCCTGTTTCCTAGAGCTGAAAGAGAGTATCTAGCCTAAAGTCTCCCAGCTGGCTTTGTGCCTAGAGTAGGATTAGACCTCACAATCCCCAGTTTCTGGTCCAGTTTAACCACAAAATAGTTACAGGCAATGATCACAGGGAAGATTCTTCTAGTTAGAATCCATAGACCAGGGAAAGTCAATTGCAAGTGAGTTTCAAAGAGTGCTTATATAATCAGGAACAACCTGTTAAAACGCTTTCATCCAACAGCAGGTGTCCATAAAATATTTATTTACAAAGCTTAGATAACTAATATCAGTCCCCACCTCTTGTTGCATAATACCATGAAGTAACGATGTTCCAATCAGTTTAAAATAATAATGGATGTGATTATAACTTTGAATATACAGGGAAATAGTGAACCAGTTTGACAAACAGAACTTGATACTGGAATGTTTCACACCCACAAGAAAGAGAAAATATAGGAGCATAGGTATACCCCAAAGAGGTAAAATGTAAGAAAGATTAATGAAAATCAAAAGAAATATGGAATAAAACACAAAAATTACTGTTAGCTGGATAAAATATCATTTAGCATGTAAGTCTAATAAAGCAAAGCATGGTTAAAAGTCCAAGTGGAAACTGGGAAAAATGACCAGGCTCCCAAGCAGAAAGAGGGTATGCACTTTCACTACAAGAACATGTGGCTGCTCTTTGTGAGGCCTGTATACCTTAATGAATGTATCTTTTCTTTTATGTATACTGAGAGTATTTGCGCCACATTCCTTGTGTGTCTAATCACACTTGGCCAATAAAGAATTCTATTCTATTCATAATGGTTAAATTTGTGTGTTGCTAGCCACAAGGGATAAAGGAAAAAATTATACTTTGACAAGACCACTTAATCAGCATAGCCCAAAAAGAACAGAGAAAACAAACATAGGACACTAGAGACAAGAATTACAGCTTTCTGTAAAAACAAATGTGGCAGTAATATTGTACAAAAAAAACAACAAAGGCAAATCAGCTAAGGAAATGAATACAAAACAAAGTCAAAGCTATAACAGACTAAATAATAACCAGATTACCTAGATGAAACACCTGTTATCTCATTAGGAAAGGCCAAAAGCAACACTGCATTCATTAGGAAGTTCAGATCTCAAAGGCCAAGAGCTTGCTTGCTACAGTATGAATCCTATTTAATTTAAACTTCTGTTTTCCAGGTCTCATCAAATGTATTACATGTTTGGCTTCTTATTTCTGGTGTTCATTATTTTGGTTATTACATGTTCTGAGGCTACTATTCTACTTTGTTACTTCCATTTATGTGCAGAGGTAAGCTTCCCAAATAGGTTGTCACAAGGTAATCTATGTTTTGCTGTGTTTAATTAAAATAAGAAGATAAGAAAAGAGGATGCATTTTCTACTGACTGCCTCCCAGAGGGAGAATTTAAAGACTTACCATAGGGACAGTGTTGTGGGGCTAGAAAAAAATTAACACGGTATTGTATTAATGAGATTGGGGGAAGGAAAAAATATTTCCCAAGTACCAAGAAATTTATTCTTAGCTGCTGGGAAAAATATCTGCAGAACAAATGCTTAATCACTGAACTTGAGTACTATATTCCACAGATTAAAAATAATAGTTTTAAGTACCATTTTGGCTTTGTTCAAACATCCTAAACCAGATTTTACTTCTGCTTGTTAATACAATCTGGTTTGCACATAACACGCCTGTAAAACACAACTGGATTCACATATCAAACCAGAAACAAACCACATTATTTTGATTTGTATGTGCACCATACCTCTTATGATCTTACAAAAACAGAACAGAGAATCAGAAATTGTCATAGCTGAAACTGTTTAATAAATAACACCCAAGATTTATTTTGTTTTGCCAATTAAACCAAGACCCCCAAATACAGATTTGCAAAGTATTATATAGAAAAGATATATGCTCAATCATAGATTACATTTTCATAGGCAGGAATAGCCTATAACTTTATGTCATGAATAATCTCTCATACTCTTTAATCTCTGATCAACATTCCTTCACTGTTATATAAGTATTAGAAAATGTTCACCCCTTTAACCATATATTTAGCTTTAACTGAGCACGTGTCTTTTAACATGATAATTACAGGTAGTGGTGTCCTCTTTAAAAGTTCTAAAAAGAAGTGCATAACTTGAAATGGAATATGATGTATAAAATAGATTTAACCGCACCCGAGAGAAGCATGTCTAACTTTTGCACCTGTTTCCCTCTTTGTTGTAGGACTACCACTGGCAGTGGCGCTCCTTTCTTACGAGTGGTTTTACTGCTGTTTATTTTCTAATATATGCAGTGCACTACTTCTTTTCTAAGCTTCAGATTACGGGTACAGCAAGCACCATTTTATACTTTGGCTACACCATGATAATGGTCCTGATCTTCTTCCTTTTTACAGGTAATATTGCTTGATATGAAAAATGCCTGCAGAAACACTAAACTGGTAACTAAATTGAAAATGATGACATGATGATGAAGCCAGATACTGTGTATCAAACATTTTCATTTCAGTTTAAAGCCTTCTGTGTGATCTAGACATTCTGCATACTGGTGCTATGGATCACATCTTCTGAAATCAGGCCAGGGATAAATTAGTATTTATGCTTGAAGTTTAGGTTCTCAAAATTTTTCATTTGGCCATCAAATAGCACTTTTTTATTTTTGTTATTGTGTTACAGTCTGGGCTGCATCACATAATACATGCACTGACAGTCATGTCTAAAGTTATAAAATATTTTAAATATATAATTTTAGTTCCATTAAAAAGAACCCCGAAAAACACAATAGCTTTATAATTTCTGTGTGGGAATGGTCCCTCAAATCTCCTGCACTACAGGTAGTCCTTAAATTATGATTCCAATTGAGCTCAACTTTTCTGTTGCTAAGCGAAACATTTAAATTATTTTCCCCCGCCCCCATTTTACGACCTTTCTTGTTATAGTTGTTAAGTAAATCACTGCACTTGTTAAGTTACTAATATAGTTAAGTGAATCTGGCTTCCCCATTGACTTTACTTAAAAGAAGGTTGCAAAAGAGGATCGCATGACCCCAGGATATTGCAACCGTCATAAATGAGTCATTTGCCAAGTGTCCAAATTTTGATCACCCGACCATGGGGTGGCTACAAAGGTCGTAAGTGTGAAAAATGGTCGTTAGTCACTTTTTTTCAGTGCCGTTGTAATTTTGAACGGTCACTAAATGAACTGTTATGAGTTGAGGACTACCTGTAGCGCTAGGATCTTTCATTATAGTCGGTATGCTTTAGTGTTCATACCTTGACTTGCTTCTGTACTGTATTGTATCTGCTCGGTTAGTTGCTATGTGCAGGCAGCTAGTTGGACAATTCTTGAAAGGTAAGTTAATGCCGTCTCTTTGACTTGGTAAATGTAAATTCCTTTTGTCTTCTAGTGCAGCAGATTCCCAAACTTTATTTTTAGAATTATGAATACTTGAAAGTAAACTGATAATATGCCCTGTATTTAATTAGAGATGCACTGCTTTACAAAAGGCATTAGTAAAATTTTTGTCATGCAAACATAATAATACTTAGAAGTGTAAAACAAGATGCGTAATTAATGCATAGTTTCTGCTGCTACTACAACTATGAATACTTACAAGTGAATAAAAAATGTTCAAATTAGCATAAGAGGCTAATTTGACTCCCCTACAAGGGAAATGCCCCCCCTCCCCCCAGATTTTATGTTGAGTGTTTGTTAAAGGTATCGGTAGGGTATAGTAAAAATAAAAAGTCAAGATGGCAACCTGGCAATGTGACTGAAGCTTTGCCTGTTTTCTATGGGTAATGCACATAAAAAATGGGCCCTTTTTGATTACACCTGTGGACACACCTTGGCTTTTGTACCACAAGACACTTGGCAACAGTGAATCTTTTGCTAATTCACCATATTGAATTAAATACCAATTCATATATTGGAATTTTTGCTCCCACAACCCACCTGCATTGTTCGTGAGGAAAAAAGGTATATAAAAAAAAGCACATCATAAATTTCACGAGGCTAAAATGAAACATCCTAGGATATTCGGTCCCAGAGGCATTTAAGTTCCTGTCAAGTTGATATAAAAGCCAAACCAAGGACCTCCTAATTGCTGTATCCAAATGATTATATTGCTGCTTACTCATCTGTTTAAAATGGTCAACCTCAAGGAGGGTTTTGATGGTGCCCTGCTGTCACAGCAGTAGAGCGCATGCTTGGGGCATTTACTTCTCATATGGCATTCTGGGTCATTGATCTGACACAGCAAGCAAGTTGCTGGAAGCTACGCAACAAATCCGATTCACAGCGAGGTCCACAACTGTGTCTTTGACACACTAAATGAATCTGTTCGACATCAGTGGCTGAGCTAATACGGAAAAAAAAATCAATGCGATATCATTCAGTTTTTGCTGAAATATTTGTAATGCGTAAAACTATTGTGAATTTTCAAACCCTCCAAACTGCATGACACATGAGGCCTTTCAGGAACAAAAGGGAATGGTGCTTGTCCTTAATCTTATTATTCTGAAATTAGCAATTTACTCATTACTCTCTGCTATGTGAAGCAGGAATTTTAGAATTTCTACATATTCTGCAAAGATCTGAAGTGCACAGAAATGCGTATTGGCAGCTTTTAACTATTTAGCACCTTGAATTTCAAAGAGTTGTCTGTATCCTTTAACACAGTAGTTTACATGAGCAACTGGTTATTTTTTTCAACCATGAACAGGTATCAAACGTTGTTTCGCTCCATAACAGCTTTCTGTTTCAAGAACTGGTCAGTGATATACATAATAGATTTAAAATCAGCCAAAAAGTGTGATGTCAGGAACCAAACCATGCATATATTTATCTGCAATTATTTTAAAAGCCAGGGCCATCTCTTTGCCTCTTTATCTTTTTGACATCTCATTTTCTCCGCAGAGGTGATATTATTTCATTATGGTTTTTGTAGTGACTCAGGTTTCTACTTCCAGGGATGAAATAGCTATTTTTGTATCTTATGGTTTTTTTTCAGGCTAGCTGACTGCAAGGCTTGTCCAGCCTTCTGGGTATTTGGGCTGGCTTTTCTGTGCTGCCTTATCAATTTTACTGAATTTTGCAACAGCAATATAACTTTTTTTTTTTTGAATATATGACCAAAACAGTTTCTTCCCAAGTTCAGTGGGTAGATACTTTAAGACAGCAATTAAGGACACATTAGATGCAAGCACCTGTAAATTTAAGAGATCTTAATTCTGAAAAAATAGGAATAGGTTGATATTCGGGGGTGTGGTTATGACAACTATACATTGCACTTTCCAACTTCAAAAGTTAAAATGTAAGAAGGATGCTTTAGTAAAGATAAATCATAAGGATAAAGGTGCCAAGTTACAAGAATATTTACAGAAGAAAGTATGATGCTTCTGACTTAACAGAATAACAGGTGCAATTTAATATTTCAGACTATAAACAATAACATGAAAACCTGCCTGTAGATAGCTTTTTTTCTTTTTACTATTTTCTCTTTTTTTCCTCTTGTTCTGTTAAATGAATAAATTAAAAAAAATAAAATTAAAAAAGGATTGGATGGAAAAAGGATTGTTTTCATGCTGAGGCAGAATGGTACATTTTTGGTTTTCTAATCTATACATGGAAATGCACCATACAGAAAAAGATTCCTAGCTAAATGGTTATTTTTTTCCAAAGCAAAAATCCCTGTGCTATCTTTACCTGGTCTTCTTCCAGATGTGGGGAGGGGTTTAACTTTGATGAAAGATGCTCTGCACCAGACCAATCTTGCTCCACAGAACTTCCTCTTTCAGGAAATGCAGACAGAGCTCAGCTCCTATATGGCAAGCAAGCTGCCTTTGGCACTGTGCTGATTTAATGTTGTGGCCCTAAATATAAATAATTCCTGAAAAAGTAAATCATGATGTGCTGTAAGAGAAAAGCATTAAAATAGACATACGAACGTGCAAAATTATAGGTTTTTGTGGCCTGTTTTATTAATGTAAGACAACCAGGTATGAATATTGATGCAATTTTGTATTTGATTTGTAGGAACAATTGGATTTTTCTCTTGCTTTTGGTTTGTGACCAAGATATACAGTGTGGTAAAAATGGATTGAAGATATTCAATGCAGAAACTATCAACCTAATTTAAGTACATGATTTTGGAAAAGAATGTAAGCTTTATCAAAAGTACTGTCTTAGTACTTTCTGAATGATACAGAATATACATTTTCTCTCATTCAAATATTTGTATTGTAATTTTGCAATCTGTTTTCAGTTCGTATTCTTAAGACTGAATATAAATGTATGCATTTGTAAATATTGTTATATTGGGACTTTTAAATTCTAATGACCGGGTTATAAGTGCTGCCTTGCAGTATTTAATAATTCTTCTGAAAGAATAGTTGTAAATAAAGTTTTCTAGGTTTGCTGAGTGGGGTTGATTATTTTTTCAAAGTAAAGAACTTATTTCTATCATGCTTCTGAAGATTGACTCAGTGTAAGGTTGACTCAACATTCTTGTAGTTTGAACGTTTTTGTTTCCTATGAAGCCATGGCCATAAATCCGTGTTGGCGTTTGAGATTCTGTGCCTCCTAAGTTTTGCAACCTAAACAATTCATAATAAATGAGCTATGTTCAGTTGATTATTACCCATTATAAATAAACGCATAAAATCCTGTAAATAGAAATATACTGATAAGTTTTAGACATGTAGATTGGGTTATGGTTTTTTTGAGTAAATCATGCTACATAAATGTAATATTCATGCACTACTTAAAAATGACATTTCGTAATTATACTATAGTGTCTCTCTTAATCCACTACATAACTAAATTAAAAGACTGGATAATATGATGAAAAGGTCTGCATAAATAGAAACAAGATGTATTACCAATTGTGTCCCTTGCAGATTTTAATGATACATATTATGCAGAATGGACTACAGGTTTTTTTTAAAGAACTATTTGCCTCAATTAAAGAAGTAAATTTGTTAGATGAATTAAAATTAATCCACTTGCATCTCTGAAAATTGCAGTGGAAACGTGTTTACTGTGTTAAGTTGTCTGAGCAATTTACCTATTAATAATCTCTGCATGTTTTCTGGAAGACATACCTGTTGCCATGTAATTGCACGTTTCAACAGATGACCCTAGTTTTTTTTCTAGTATTTCTAAAGAGCATAAACTGATGTGTGAATATTAAAATCGAATAAAATATCTTTTGTTAATAACCTGAATTTTTAATTTGGTCCTGTAAACTTCCATTTACACAAATGTTCGATTCAGAATGCCTTACAGAAGAATTTAAAAAGCCATGTCAATATTCCTCAGATTTTTTTAACAGCCAATCTAAATATTTGCTAAATAGTTATTATTGCAGCTTGGGTCTTCTTTTAGTGGAATTATTTGTGCAGTTATACCAGGGTTGGATTTGGCTTTAGCTGCCATAAAAGTGAGCCATCCTTGATTGAGAATGCTAGCATAAATTATCTGGCTTAAAGAATAATTTCCTTTAATATATTCAAATTTGTATGCCAGGTTTCCTTGGAGTCGGAGAATAATTTTAAACAGAAGACTCCTCTGGCAGAATAGACCTCTTGACTACAGGTAGTCCTTGACTTACAACTTTTAGTGTTGTAAGTTCATTTAGTGATCATTCAAAGTTACAACATTGAAAAAAGGGACTTACCACTATTTTTCACAGCTGTAACTGTTGCAGCATCCCCAAGGTCATGTGATCAAAATGCATATGCTTGGCAATTGACTCGCATTTACAACGGTTGCAGTTGCCCTGGGTCATGTGATTGACTTTTGCGACCTTCTGACAAGCAAAGTCAATGAGGAAGCCGGATTTACTTAACCACAGGTTACTAACAACTGCAGCAAGTGCTTGCGTGCCAACACCCAGAAGGCAATGCACCCCCCCCATCCCCTACGCATGCGCGTGTAATCACCCACACACCCACCCCACCACCCCTTACCTGCACAGCGCCTCACAGCTGATTTATGGCCAGTTTGAGGCCTTTTTCGGCCTCCCAAAGACTTGAGGAAAGCTTCTGCAGGCTTCTACAATCTTTGTAGGCTGAAGTCTAGCCCCATTTCATCATTTCCTGTTTTTCCGAAAATACCGGCCAAAAAAGGCCTCAAACCGGCCGAAAATCAGCTGTGAGGCACACACATGTGCTGTGAGGTAAGTTTGCCTGCAGCTCGCGTGCTGACACAAACGGCTCTGCGTGCCACAGGTTCGCCATCACAGCTTTAGGATATTTCAAGAGGGTAGCAAGTGAAATGTGTAATGGGCCCTAGCACGTGCCAAGAAACTATAGAAGAGTATATTGCGTTGCAAATACTGTCTATGGAGATTCTCAGTCATCCAGGTCATGGTTGTCCCAAAGATGCTTTTTTTTTTCCCAAGAGGCAA